AAAGTTATGAGACTGACACCAGTTTCCATTACCGGTGACTTGCAGATGTTTGTTGCAAAATTTTTAATTTAATGTTTCAAATAAAGACTTTGTCATGAATTTCAATGACTTTTCTCAAGTGAGATAGTGATCAAATGTTGTTGTTATTTGATAATTTGCACACGTTTTTCTTCCGTTCCCTTTTCTATTTATTTATATAAATATTAAACTGTTATTTATGGCACATTGTTCTTTCGTGTTAGTGGAAAGTTCTGGCCACTGGCTCATTCATACACTGTATGCAGGCTATTTCATAGTTTATAAGGGGTCCAAAAAGGACGTTTTGGAAACTAAATATCCAACATTACCTGGAACCGTAGACGAACGAACAGAAATATCTAGAAATGTTATACAGAAGACAATATCTAACGTTGAAAAACATGAAGATACAGCGAGAAGCTTGTACCCGTTAGTCTCTTTCGAACAAAATTAAAAGTAGGTAACTCACTACTATCGTTAAGAATACATCAAATATGTTCTAGAGTGACGCTTACTGAACTTTATTCTAAGACTGAATGAATAGTTGAAAGTTACGACTTGTGTTTCTCTATTTTTATATAAATTAGGTTATATCGTGTTAATAGGACAATTTTACGTTTCTAAAATGAATTTTTCCAGGGAATTTTTTTTCTACACCAGAGAAAAATGGTTATCGTCCTATGCCGTTGCAGAAAATTTCAATGGCGCAAGAAGGCTTTCAGATTGTGCCCTCCCCTCCATCAAAATAAAGGACTTATTCTGGTGTGTCCACATCTCATCCTTCGACGTAACGTGCTGATAAGTCATGTATGTCCTCTGCTTAATGTAAGTGGTCTTTGAACTCGAACACTTCCTCTAAAGTGAACCAGAGCAGGAAAGTTGACAAGATGAAGATTCAAGAACATGAATTATTTCGTTTTGTAAAGTATCTGTACTGAAACTGTAAAGGATTCTCGGTGTTGGTATAATAAGGGCGTTAAAAGTAAGGATACGAAAATTGGGAATTTAGGAGTGATTAATGTATTCACTTCGGTTTTCGAAAGGAGTGTGAGGTAGCAAACTATTTTATTTTGTTATGGTTTTGTTTAGTTAACTTATTCTTTCTATCGTTTAGTTTATCTGTTAATTTTTAGTTTACACTTAAACGCTAACTTACTTCCTACGTAATCTCATTAACTTTCTGATTCTAAGAGTTATCAGACTGACACCAGTTTCCCATATCGGTGACGTACAGATATTTAACATTGGTAAATAGCATGTAAACAATGATCATATGAATTAATCTGTTCTAACTAGTCACTTAATTATTGCAGCTTTAGCTTGTCTTTGGACTCGAGGATTTCCCGTAACCTGAGTCGGAAGGTGAAGATTGAAGAACATGAACGAATTTTCTTTAAGGTGTATGTACTTAAACTGTGCAGGATTCATGATGTCAGTATAACGAAATCGTTAAAAGTAAGGATACAAAAATTTGAACTTTGGAGTGATAAATGTAATCACTTCGGTTTTCGAAAATAGGAGTGTGAGGTAGCAAGTTCTATTTTTATTTCATTATGGTTTTGTTTTCATTTTATTATTCTTTCTATTGTTTAGTTTATCTATGAAATTTTAGTTTACGTTTAAACGCTAACTCACCTTCTAGCTAATTACGTCATTTAAAGTTCATAAGAGTTATGAGACTGACATCAGTTTCCCTATATGTGACTTGCAGATATTAGTGTTGGTAAAGAGTGTAATTAATATTAAAATACATTTTTAATCTCTTGAATATAAACCCTGTCATGAGCTTCAATAAGTTTGCTCACGAGAGATAATGGAGAAGTGTGTTATTAGATATTTTTTAGTTTTGTGTATATTTTCTTTTTCTAAATTCGTTTATTTATTAAAATATTAATCCTGGTATTGATATATTCTTTCATGTTAGTACGAAGTCCTGACTTTGTGCATATCCATAAACTATAAACTAATTACTTAATAGCTTGTAAGAGGTCAAAGAATTACATTTTGAAAAAAACCATTATACAGAAGACTAGATTTAGTGTTCACAAGTTAGTAACGGTAAGTCACAATGTAAAGTAGTTAACTAACAAGTAATATTGTTATAATGTTGATAAGTTAATAACGGTAAGTCACAACGTAAAGTAGTTAACTTAAGTACTATTGTTATAATGAATACGTTTATCTTTTTCAGTAAATAATTTTACTCTAAAATTTATCTTAAATTGGGATGGACTGTCCAAACACACTGGTTATGATTAGATATTTCTTTATTAATTTAAAAGATTATATGTATATAATTTCTTTTTCTCCAGTTAAAATTCCTTGACACCATTCTCATAATCCGAGGCATTTTAAGAAAATTAAATGCCGCTTGGAGATTTGCCCAACTAAATAGTCAACTATTTCTGGTGTATCCACATCTCATCCTTCGACATAACATGCTAATGACTTTTGTCTTCTGCTCAACCTAGCTGATCTCTGAACTCAAGCTTTCTACAATTTGAACCAGAATAGGAAAGTAGAAAAGATCAAGATTCAAGAATATGAATTATTTCTACTTGTAAGGTTTCTGAAACTGTAAAGGATTCAGTGTTAGTATAATGAGAGCGTTAAAAGTAACGATATGAAAATTGGTAGTTTAGGAATAATTAATGTAATCACTTTGGTTTCCAAAAAGGGGAAAGAGTGTGAGATAGCAAATTCTGTTTTTATTTTATGTTTTTGTTTACCATTTAATTATTTCTTCTATCGTTTAGTTGATCTTTCTATTTTTAATTTACATTCAAACGCTAACTCACATTCTAGTAAACCACATTAATTTTTAAACTTGTGTGAATTATCAGATTGAAGCCAATTTTCCATAGGGATGACGTACAGATATTAATGTTGGGGAAGTGTGCACGTAATTATCACATCAATTCTGATCTCTTGATGTGAGTAGTTTAGTTAATTATCACGGATTAGCTGGTCTTGGAACCCAACAACTTCAGTTGAACTGAACTAGAGCCGGAAGCTAAAGCCGAATATAGAAGAAAAGGGAATGATTTCACCTTGAAAGGTATCTGTATTTAAATTGTTAAGGATTGACGATGTGAGTACAATGAGGGCGTTAAAAGTAAGGATACTAAAATTAGGTATTTTAAACAGTGATTAATGTAATCCCTTTGTTTTTCTGAAGGGGGAGGAGTGTGAAGTAGCAGCTTCAATTTTTATTAAGTTTTGGATTTGTACTGCTTGTACAATAGTAGTACTCTTGTACTAATAACCCTGAAGCCGTAATAGCGAAAAGTTGGCTGAAATAATTTTATTATTATCTGGAGGATAGTTTTTTTTATCCTAACTGCCAAAATTAACACTGTATAAAGTAGATATAAAGTGTGTGTGTGTGTGTGTATGTGTGTATGTATGTATGGTTACTCACATTAATTTTAAACTAGAAGTATTAGACTGACACCAGTTTCCCATAACGGTGACTTGTTTGTAAACAGTATTTAAATCTCTTGATCTACTTAATTATCGCAGCTTAGCTTAACTTCCCTTAACGTGAATCGCAGCAGAAGGTAGAGAAGCTGAAGATCTGAAAACACTAAGAATTTTTCTTTGTAAGGTATGTGTACTTAAACTGGTCAGGAGTCATGGTGTCAGTGTAATGAGATCATTAATAGAAGGGTACTAAAACTGGTAATTTATAAGCAGTGATTAATGTGATTACATCGGTTTTCGGACGTGGAATGAATACGAGGTAGCAAATTCTACTTTTATTTCGTTATGGTTTTGTTTTCTGTTCATTTGTTATTCTTTCTATTGCTTAGTTAACCTGTAACATTTGTTTTACATTTAAACGCTACTTCGCATTCTAACCAGTTACGTCATTTAAATTTTCTATAACTTATGAGACTGACACCAGTTTCCATTACCGGTGACTTGCAGATATTAAAGTTGTAAAATTTTTAATGTTCTGAATAAAGACTTTATCATGAGTTTCAATGACTTTTCTCACGTGAGATAGTGATCAAATGTTGTTGTTGTTATTCAATGTTTTAAGTTTTATACACGTCTTTGTTCCATTTCTATTTCTTTATATAAATATTAAACCGTTATTAATGGCATATTGTTCTTTCGTGTTAGTGGAAATTTCTGGCCACTGCCTCATTCATACACTGTATGCAGGCTATTTGATAGTTTACAAGGAGTCGAAAAAGGACTCTTTGGAAACAAATTACCTGGAACCGTAGATGAACGAACATAAATATCTAGAAATGTTATACAGAAGGCAATAGCCAACGCTGAAAAACATGAAGATACAGCGAGAAGCTTGTACCCGTTAGTCTCTTTCGGACAAAATTAAAAGTAGGTAACTCACTACTATCGTTAAGAATACATCAAATATGTTCTGGAGTGACTCTTACTGAACTTTATTCTAAGACTGCAACGGCCTCATTATACCAACACCGAGAATCCTTTACAGTTTCAATACAGATACCTTACAAAAAGAAATAATTCATGTTCATGAATCTTCATCTTCTCTCCTTTCCTGCTCTAGTACTTTACAGGAAGTGTTCGAGTTCAAAGACCACTTACATTAAGCAGAGAACATAAATGACTCATGAGCACGTTACGTCGAAGGATGAGATGTGGACACACCAGAATAAGTCTTGTTTTGATGGAGGGGAGGGCGCAATCTGAAAGCCTTCTTACGCCATAGAAGTTTTCTGCAACGGCATCGGACGATAACCATTTTCTCTGGTGTAGAACAAAAAATTCACTGGAAAAATTCATTCTAGAATTGTAAAATTGTCCTGTTAACACGATATAACCTAAATTATATAAAAATTGAGAAACACAAGTCTTAACTTTGAATTTTTCATTAAAAGTAAGGATACGAAAATTGGGAATTTAGGAGTGATTAATGTAATCACTTCGGTTTTCGAAAGGAGTGTGAGGTAGCAAATTATTGTTTTGTTATGGTTTTGTTTACAGTTAACTTATTCTTTCTATCGTTTAGTTTATCTGTCAATTTTTAGTTTACACTTAAACGCTAACTCACTTCATAGCTAATCGCATTAACTTTTAGATTATACGAGTTATCAGACTGACACCAGTTTCCCATATCGGTAACGTACAGATATTTAACATTGGTAAATAGTATGTAAATAATGATTACATGAATTAATCTGTTCTAACTATTCACTTAATTACTGCAGCTCAGCTTATCTTTGGACTCGAGGATTTTCCGTAACCTGAGCCAGAAGGTAGACAATGTGAAGAAGGAAGAATATGAACGAATTTTCATTGTAAGGTATATGTACTTAAACTGGGCAGAATTCATGATGTCAGTATAACGAGATCATTAAAATGAAGGATACGAAAATTGGGAATTTATAAGCAGTGATTTATTATTATCACATTCTTTGTCTAAAGCAGAAGGAGTGTGAGATAGCATATTCTTCTGTTATTTTGTTATGGATTTCTTTACCGTTCGTTTATTCATTCTATCGTTTAGTTAAGCTCTGGATTTTTATTTACTCTTAAACGCTAACTCACCTTCTACCTAATCACTCCAATTTTTAATTTATATAAATTATGATACTGACATAAGTTTCCCGTATCAGTGACGTACAGATATTAATATTGGTAAAGAGTATGTATATCATTTGTTATTTAATTATTGCATATTAACCGGTCATAGAACTCTAACTTCGTTAACCTGTACTAGAACCGAAAGATAAAGTCGAATATATAAGAAAATGGTTTCATCCTTGAACTGTATCTGTACTTAAACTGTAAAGAAAGTCAGTATAACGTTAAAAGTAAGGACTTAAAATTGATTAATGTAATCACTTCTTCTAAAGGGGAAAGAGTGTGAAGTAGAAAGTTTCATTTTATTTCGTTTTGGATTTGTTTATTTATTATTCATTCTATCATTTAGTTAATGTGTGAATTTTTAGTTTACATTTTAGTTATTCACATCAATTTTAATCATGAGACCGACACCACTTTCTCATAGCGGTGACTTGTAGATGTTAATGTTGGTAATGAGAATATAATTAATGATTTCATTATTTCAAATCTCTTTATCTAATTAATTATAGAAACTTAGCTGGTCTTTGGACTTCCCGTAACCTGAATCGCAGCAGAAGGTAGAGAAGCTGAAGATCTGAGAACACTAAGCCTTTTCTTTGTAAGGTATATGTACTTAAACTGGGCAGGATTCATGGTGTCAGTATAATGAGATCATTAATAGTAAGGGTACTAAAACTGGTAATTTATAAGCAGTGATTAATGTGATCACTTCGGTTTTCGAACGGGGAAGGAATACGAGGTAGCAAATTCTACTTTTATTTCGTTATGGTCTTTGTTTTCTCTTCATTTGTTATTCTTTCTATCGTTTAGTTAACCTGTAACATTTGTTTTACGTTTAAACGCTACTTCGCATTCTAACCAGTTACGTCATTTAAAGTTTCTAAAAGTTACGAGACTGACACCAGTTTCCATTACCGGTGACTTGCACATATTAAAGTTGTAAAATTTTTAATGTTCTGAATAAAGACTTTGTCATGAATTTCAATGACTTTTCTCACGTGAGATAGCGATGAAGTGTTTTTATTGTTATTCGATGTTTTAAGTTTTATACACGTCTTTGTTCCATTCCTTTTTCTATTTGTTTATATAAATATTAAACTGTTATTGATGGCATATTGTTCTTTCGTGTTAATGGAAAGTTCTGGCTCATTCATACAATGTATGCAGGCTATTTGATAGTTTACAAGAAGTCAAAAAAGGACTCTTTGGAAACAAAATATCCAACATTACCTGCAACCGTAGATGAACGAACATAAATATCTAGAAATGTTATACAGAAGGCAATATCCAACGTTGAAAAACATAGATACAGCGAGAAGCTTGTACCCGTTAGTCTCTTTCGGACAAAATTAAAAGTAGGTAACTCACTACTATCGTTAAGAATACATCAAATATGTTCTGGAGTGAATCTTACTGAACTTTATTCTAAGACTGAATGAAAAATTCAAAGTTAAGACTTGTGTTTCTCAATTTTATATAATTTAGGTTATATCGTGTTAACAGGACAATTTTACGTTTCTAAAATGAATTTTTTTTTTTCTACACCAGAGAAAATGGTTATCGTCCGATGCCGTTGCAGAAAACTTC